CATCACTGTTTTTTTGTGTTTTAATAGAATTACTTTTATCACTACTTATTGGGCAAATTCCTATTGTGTAACTACACATATGCAACTTTAGGTTGTGCCTGCAGTAGTTATGATTGCACTGAGATGGAGTGCTATTCATGAAGCACTTCCCTTGGCACATTGCACAATCAGTCATGCAGGAAATGTACGGCCAGTTGCTCGATTCAGTTTTCAAACTAGCCAAACTGGAAGGTAATGCAATTCCTTGTTGCTGGGTGTAATGTCTGGCACATTTTCACCAGCGTAACTTGACATTATGCTGGCAGGAACAGGATTTTGCCCATTGTTTGCATAGTGTTGGACCTATTTAACTATACAGTAGTACTTTCTTAATGCTTTCTGCATTAATGTTGTAGAGGAAGACACAAGTACAGAAGGTTTAAAAATTCCGAAGCTTCATTATTTTAAATAGTATTAAACAGTTTCAAATAGCATTCAGCTTCTGAGTAATACCATTCCTTTTGAAAAATCCACTAAATAGTGGTGTTCTTAATGAAGTGGCAGAACATTGATATCTTTCTCAGAAACAGGTGTAATATCATGCATTGACTACCCAGAAGTGGTCAACAATTCTGTAAAGTGGCTTGGGCTATATGTCTCTTTTGCTAATTGGATTGTTTAGTGAATTAGGTGACTGGTTGCACTACCAGAGGTTGGGAGTTCAATTCCTCACTGGGCATCCAGGAAGAGTCAACCTGTGAGGCCTTGGGCAACCTGCACATTTCAGGGATGGCCTGAGAAGAAGGGAGTGGTAAACCATTCCCAAGTACTTTTGACCTAAAAAAAACCTTGAAAAGGGCCACAATAAGTCAGAACTGACTTAATGGCGCACAATTATTATTAAATGTCTTTTTCCCTTCCTCTTGTACTGACATTTAAAAGTTGCTCTGCAAAAAGATCTCCAGGTCATATGTGTTACCTCTGCCTACAGGTTGTAAGATTTCAGGTAAATCTTTCAGGAAATTAAATATAACTTTTTACCAAATTAATATTCGGGGCAAAGAATATTGGCATTCTGGCATTCTTTCATTTCTGGATAGAAAGTGAGGGAGTTACTTAGCACGCAGCTGATTCCTGTCTTCTGTGTATTGGAACACATTGGAATGCTGAAGCCATTCTTTGGCTTCAGGCAGACTTATGGCGCTACAGTATGATGGATGAAGGCCTATCAGGCTGCAGCCTTTGGTGTGGTTGATTAGCAGGTGCTAGTGATTAGTTGACTGTTGTGGAGTGAACTGCTGATTGGCATTCTTGTTCAACAGTGTCAGCCAGAGCTGCAGTATTTCTCTCTCTCTTTCTCTTTGTGTGTGTGTGTGTGTGTGTGTGTGTGTGTGTGTGTGTTTGTGTCTTTATAGCAACAAATTTATCTCCTCTCTGTCCAAAGTTGTTCAAAAACCTTGCTGTGATTCAATACGATGACCATTTAGTATGGGGAATTATGGAAGTATTGAATAAACAGCAAAATACTTGTTTGGTCCTCAAAATCTACATTCTGAAAGAAACACATACCAAAAGAAAAGTCGGTTTAATACCATTCCTCTCTGTGTGTGCACTTAAGAAAATACAGTGAGCACTTTTCTAGACCGATATGGAGTGCCATGTTGCAAGGATAGCAGCAACAATTCCTGTGGGAAATTATGGATGTATCTTTGCTTTTGTTACCACTGGACTTTAAAAACGTGTCAGCACATGTGTCTTCATAAGTTCTGTGAGTTGGTCCTGTAGTAACTCAGTGCTTTTCACTGTTTAGGTGCCCTCTGGGCAGAGTGGCTAAGCTGCAGTTCTGCAGTGCAGACTCTGCACAAAAACCTGAGTTCAATCCTGGGCTCAGGTAGCTGGTGTGAGTTTGACTCAACCTTCCATCCTTCCGAAGTTGGTAAATTGAGTACTCAGCTCACTGGAGGTGGGGGCAATGTGTAGCCTGCATAACTGAAAATCATAAACTGTCCATAGAGCTTTAAGCACTATGGGGCATCACATCACACTTTCTTTAATTTTTTGTTAGTATTGGGAGACAAGAACCATGTTATTTATTTCTTAGCTTTTTACACTGTCTCTGCCCACATAGGGTACCCCATGAAATGATAAAATTGATAAAATGAATAAACATTTTATGTATTTTAAGTAAAAGCATAAAACAAATTAATTAAAACACCAGACAGTTTTAATGACAATTAAAAGCAATTAAATTAGAAACCTGCCTTGATTAAAAGCCCCCTTTTACAGCATTCCAGCATAATTTCCAAAAGCTTAACTGATTAAAAAAAAGGTCTTTGTCTATTGACATAAAGACAACATAAAGAGGGCCGTCCTAGCCTGTCATGGAAGGGAGTTCTGTAATCTGGAAGCAGGCGCTAAGAAAAGTCTCACATGTACCCCTGTCAACCATAGCTCTGGGTGTCAGGGTTTAGAGAAGAGTCTCCTGTGAAAATCTGAATGCCTAGGTAGGAATGTATGGGAGAATAAAGTTCTTCAGATAGTCAGCAGTTAAGCCACAATGTTCTGGACCAGCTGGAGTTACCAGGTAGACACCCCAACATGGAAGTGCCTATAGTAATCAAAGCATAGTAAAAGTTTTACCAGGATAAATTATTGATGGTCATGTCAACAACCAGGCGAGCAGCCAACCATCTTTTGACAATATTCAGAGCTCTGTAGTTGAAGTTTAGCTTTTCTGATTTTCCATAGGCCCAATTTGGAAAGTAAATGTAAAGGGTAAATTGATCTTATCAACTGCTACCTAACCCACATCCGTCACCACAGGCAGGGTGCTAACACCACAGTAGCTATTATGAAAAATCTGTGGCATTTTCAGGTTGATTTGTTGAGTACATTCTGCAGTTTGGACCGGAAAAGGGACTTTATACAGTACTTCAGTCCAGAAAGAATACTCATTAAATGTTTTGTCCTTCATTCAGGCTTCCTTGATGAGGAGTGATAGAGCCCAGTAAGATTCAAAGAGATGTTCTCCCACCCCTGGGTCAGAGATTCTTTAACTTGCATAAAATGCACATGTCTGCACACATGTGTATGTGTGTGTACATACATGTGCACACATGCACACATACATCAGACACTTCCTAATTATTAGGAAAGATGGCAGCAACCCATCCAGTGTTTCATATTCTCTTGGGGAGGGGGCAAAATAATTATCCCAATTTTGAGCAATGTACACAGAAACTGCAAGATGGGCAATTTTTAAAATTAAAAATATTCTCAGCAATGCAAGAAATCTATTGAAAGCCTCAGGAAATTCTTCGCCATTCTCTCTGGCAAGTGCCAAGCGCTTGCCCATGAGGACTAGAAAAGCAGAGATTTACATCCGTATTTTCTATCCTGCATCATGTGATAATGTCTGTTCTTCAGTGACCACCCTTGAACCTTTTTATCTGCATTATTTCACACTTTTATTCTTGTGGCAATTATTTGTGCTGTACCTATTGTTTCTTTTAATAAAAGCTTCACATGGTGTTTCTTGAACAGAGGTTGCTGGTTCTCTTACATATTGCTTCTGGAAAACATTAGAGTTAAGGATGCAAAGAATGTGTTAAGAGAGCTTTCAGCTTTTTATCTTTTCTGTAATATTGCAGACCCGTGGTTCCGCCAGATAATGATACAAATATATTTTAACATAGTTTTCCAGTTCAGAAGTGTGTGTGTGTGCATGCGTGTGTGTGTGCATGCGCATATGTGCACGTGCATACATATGCACCTATATGTGCATGCATGTGGATATGTTATTCAGGTTAAAAGGGGATTCATGAGCAGTAGAATCCCAAGAGATGAACTCTCTGGCTAGACCTTAATTATCTTTCATAATATGTTACATCATTCATTTGCCATCAGGTAGTTTCGCCTCTCCCACCCCCTTTCTATGATTGGATTGAATGAAGCCACAGTCTAGCATAGAAAGTAAAATCAGGGAGTAATGCATAATGTGCAATGCCCTATGGAATATTTCTTTTATCAAATACCTACTGGTGTCACATTCAGCATGAGACATGTAAGCATCTGACTATGCAACTGTTTGCATTTTTTTTGCCAAAGATTTGTTTCAATATCCATCTTGGCTTAGAGACTCAGACTGCTGCCTAGTAAATGCCTGATAAAACTTAAAACCCCTCACTTTGGAGTGGAAGAAGAGGTCCTCTCTTTTCTACTGTCCATACGTGTTAGAATACCTGGTACATTCTGGAAGGGGCAATTTCAAGAGAAAAGAAAAGCAGTTCTGCTGTTTTCCTTTGTTGTCATGTCTCTCTCTCTCCCCCCCCCCTTACAAATTGCCTGATGCTACAGCCAAAAGTAAATTGCATGAGTAGCTGCAGTGCAACTGACCACAGCACAGAGAAAATGGAAAGGTTACAGGAGTGGCAACTGCAGTCATAGTAGGAGAGCCATACACTGAAGATACAGTTTTTGTGTTTAGAATCCTACATGATTTGATTTGGGGTTCTTTCTTTCTTTCTTTCTTTCTTTCTTTCTTTCTTTCTTTCTTTCTTTCTTTCTTTCTTTCTTTCTTTCTTTCTTTCTTTCTTTCTTTCTTTCTTTCTTTCTTTCTTTCTTTCTTTCTTTCTTTCTTTCTTTCTACCTACCTACCTACCTACCTACATTGTAGCAACATTCAAGATGGGGAGTTCTAGAAAGCATGTGTCCTCAGGATGGGCGGTAAAAATCTCAAGGCTCCAATTGTGAGGATTGGTTCTGCTTAAGATGAGCAACATTTCTATCAATGAATCCATTTTGTTCTGAGATTCAGTCAGGCAGCTAGTCAAATTTTGGAGAGAAAAAGGTGGCCTTAAAAAGCTGAAGGCAATGAAGTGATTTTCTTTTGTGTGTGTGAGTGTGTGTGTGTGTGTGTGAGAGAGAGAGAGAGAGAGGGAGGGAGGGAGAGGGAGAGATACCTTAAGACATTTACCTAACGTATTATTTTGTTTGTTTTGTTTTCTGTTTTTCCTTTACAGTAGAAGAAAATGAATCTGAGGACCAGGGAGGTGTGGGACAGTCAGCTGCACAAACAGGTAAATTGTGTATTTGCACTTTGTTTGTTGTCTTAATATAAAACAAGAGATGTTGAGTCTTCTCTTTTTACCTCATTCCAACTCTGAGAGGAAGAGCAAAACTAAAAACCCTCCCTTCAGTTCTCTTTTTTTCTCCTGGCTTCCTGGATGTCCCACAATCTCCCATATCTCAACCATTGTGGCTTTGCTTTGATGGATGGATGACAGTCCTGGGGATATGTAGAACCTTATTTGCAAACAAAAAAGCTATTTGCTAATACCTAACTAAACTTTTTAAAGAGATCTTACTTGATAATCTGCTATTACACCTTTGAATCACCTCAGTGTATGCATTACTCCCCCCACCCATTTGCTTATATCCCAGCAGCTGTACCCCCCTTGACCCTTCTCCCACCTAGAGAGAAAAACTATCAAATTACATTTAAACTTGTGAACATTTCAAAATGATGTAGGGGGCTGGCATAAGAAAGGGCTAAAAGGGGAAAGCCATGTATATGTTGGTTTGATGCATGCACACATCTGGATTTTGGCCAATGTCTCAGCAGGCTAGTTGCTTTTATAAATGAACATATAGTTTAGATCTTAATCCATTGACTTTGTTAGCAATGACTGATCCCTACATTTAAGTCACTGGGAATTTTGTAGTAAATCCTTAGTTCAGCCATCAAGATTTTAGGGGGGGAATTTGACCTCTTTATTATGACAAACAGCAAAAAGGGAGTAATAGCATGTTACAATGGTTCCTTTGTTTTTTGCTTTCCCTATGGACAAATACGTTTGCAAGAAAGGCTGACTCCTTTAATTTTTTCAGTTACCTATTCTGCAAAAAAAAAAAAAAAAACTAAATAGCCTTTCCTCAATGAAATAATCATACTATATGTTTTGTTGATACTGCTTGCAGATCTTCATCTGCTCGTTTCAGGGAGAAATTCTACTTTTATTTAGTGTGCCTTCCTTAGATTTAAGAAGTCAAGTGTTTCTTCGAGACTAATGTACATATTTAATTTGAGTGAGGTGACTAATAAATATATCATATGCAGCAAATTAATTACTTGTATAATTTCCTCTTCCAGTAAAATTAGATTGTCTTCGGTAATATTTGTTTTATCTTAAGTTCTTAATGGTATATGCTATGTTTTCCTCCTCTGCTACCCAAATGGGACAAATGACCCGTTTAACCAAATTTAATTTTTCATGAAAAATCTGCAGCTGGTTGGGGAGGTGAAAGTCCATGTGTTTGCCGGAAAACAGTGGGCTGAGACTGGAAAACAAATGGTAAGGAGATGGACACATCCTTCCAAAATGTTTGTTCAGTCTTGTTGGTTCATCAGTTGATGAAGATGAAAAGGATAATACTTCTTAAGATTGCCACTTCATTAAAAAAAAAACCCAGCTCTTTCCTCGTATTACCTGTGAGACTAATCATAAACAATTTTTTTTCCAGAGCCACAATACTGAATAAATTAAAAAGTTACTTTTTAGATGATAGTATTCTACAGACTGCATGGCAGATGTAGTCCAATAATAATAATAATAATAATCTAAGCTCTGGAAAGTGTGTTCATGTATCTTTCTTGATCTTTGAAATTTTTTTGTTTTGTGTATTTCTTTGAGGGGATGTTTTTAAAAACTGAAGGAAAGCCTTTCAGCCTTCATATTGTGAAAAAGAAAAACCTTTCCGCCTTCAGCTATTTCACACAGGAAGGTAGCATAAGAAGTCCCATACATGCTGCTATAAGTTTTTCTAGTAATAGTTTGCATCAAAGCTCTGGCTCTTTCCATTAAATGTGCTTTTTATGGAGTACCAAGTTATAAATGTAGTGCAGCTACGGCATATTAATCTTACTGCAGAGATTTAATGAGGCAGTTGTTTTGCGATGGTCACTATTGGGAGCAGACAGCGACAGAGTTTTACTTCACTGCTGAACTGCAGAAATATTCCTTTCCTGATCATAATTATAACCACATGATCTCTTAGTTTTCCTTCCTTTTGCCAGCACTTTTCCATGCAGAAGTGCCTTGGAAGGAGGTCCATTAAAACACAGTCAAATGGACTGGAAACTGGGCTTTTTTCCTGGTTAGTTTGACATTTTAGGCTCTTGATCAGCTATGGATCCTTGTTGCGTGGAGAGAAATATGCAAGATGAGTTTCAAGCATACAAAGTGTCTTTGCCAGTCTGCTGAGATGGCTGTTAGATATTCATTACTTTTTTAAAAAAACTTGACTTTTATATAGGTTATAAAAAGTAAATGTGGTGAAACCTAATTTTAACATGGACAGAATAGAATTTCTGCTGGTTGGCTTTAAACCAATCTCTTACTGGAAATTAATTGAAGTCCATGAGTTTATTGCTGCTAACTCTTTTAAGCCTTTGCAGTTTTTCATTATCCTCCAAAGTTGCTGTTTTATTAGACCAAGTTACAGCAATAACATCCCTTGTGAGGAGAAGGAAGAAGAGGAGAAAGCCACCTGCCAGGACACAAAAGTAATGGGGAAAATATACTACTTAAATTTCCATTTATATATAATGTCCAGCATAATCAGGAACAGAAAAACAGCAGTTAATTTATGTATTATATTAGTAGCTGGAATTTCTTTCAGAGCCAAATCTGGCTCTCCTTTTTTTAATGAGGTAATTTTGGAAATGGAATCTTGCAGATAGGATGATGATGTGTAGACTTGCTGATGGATTGAGTTGTGCTCTGAGGAGAGCAGTGATTAACATAGGTGGATTCATAGCTAGTATATTGTGGTTTGGGACCTTACGCTTCTGTGGTTCTTACTGGATACCCTGTTCAGTGAGAAACAATCCAGGGCATTGTATGTACATGTGTATGTGTGCGCGTGCATATTGCTTAATCCCAGCCATATATATTTCACTTACATCCAGTGTTCAGCTGAAACAGAAGCAGGCCATGGATTTGCTACTGTGTTTGTAGAGCCCCTCCACACACTCATTTCCCTATTGGAAAGGATGGATTCTGTGCAAATGTCACATTTTGCCAATCACTTGTTGATTAGGGAAGGTAATTTCTCATACCACAGATATCTGGTATAATAATCATGAGACAGTGATTCTATATGTAGGTTAGTAATTGTCATGAAAAGATAAGATTCCTTTGTAGGGCCACTCCTCTGACTTGGAACCTCTGGCTTCCAGGGCCATGTGAGTTGCAAGTGTATACCTGATCACGTAACTGATCACGTTTGTGGAGCTTGGAATTGTTACTTTACAAAGCAACAGCCAGATTCTTGTTGGTAGTTTATGTGTACGTTAAACTGTGTTGTCCACTGTGGCAAATTGTTGCTAATTACAAGGCAGTAGTTGCTGTACTAGGTATGCATCTGTAGCACAGAAAACCACCTTGTCAGTTAGTGGCAATTTTTGCTCTGAGTTCTGCAGTTTAACTCACATGCAAAGTCTGCTGCTTATGTACTGCCCCATCGTGCTTAAAACCCTCTCTGAGTGGTTTACAACTACAGTGGACTCTCGACCTACGGAATTAATCCATATTGGAATGGTGTCCGTAGGTCGAAAATGCATTTCCCATAGGAATGCATTGAAAACCCATTAATCTGGCCCAAGAAACCACTCACACACAAAAATTTAAAATAATTTTTTAAAAAATTAACCTTACCTTTTCGAAGCCTTCCAGGGGTCCCCTGCCGCCGCCGGAGGACTCAGAGGGCTTCGGCGCCACTGCCGGAGGCCTCTTGGAGCTCCCTCGCCAACACAGGCTTTCCCAGGGTGGACCAGGCCTACCAGGAGAGGGCTTCCCCTGGGAGGCCTGGTCTACTGCCTGGGAAAGCCTGATAGACTGGGCCTACCAGGGGAGGGCTTCCCCCAATAGGCCTGGTCTACTCCCCAGGCTTTCCCGGGCCGTAGACCGGGCCTACCGGGGGAAACCCTCTCCTGGTAGGCCCGGTAGACCCTGGGAAAGCCTGCATCTGTGGGGGGGGGACCTCTGGAGGCCTTCCCCACCGCCATGGGAGGCTTCTCAAAGGTCTCCTGCCACCGCCGATAGTGCCTCCGAAGCAGGGGTCCGAGCATGGCCGGGATCGCCCGTCTCAGCCTGGTCTACTGCCTGGGAAAGCCTGGAAGGCTGGGCCTATCAGAGGAGGGCTTCCCCCAGTAGGCCCAGTCTACTCACCAGGCTTTCCCAGGCAGTAGACCAGGCCTACCGGGGGAAGCCCTCCCCTGGTAGGCCCGGTCCACCCTGGGAAAGCCTGCGTCGGCGGGGGGGGGACCTCTGGAGGCCTTCCCCACCACTATGGGAGGCTTCTTGAAGGTTCCCGACTGCCACCGATAGTGCCTCCAAAGCAGGGGTCCAAGCATGGCCGGGATCGCCTGGCATGGCTCGGCTCCCAGCGGCAGCAGTGGGGGACTCCGGGTGCCTTCCAAGGCTTCTCCGCCATCATGGAAGGCATCTTGGAGGTCCCCCGCCACCGCCAATCGTGCTTTGGAGGCACTGTCGGCAGGGGGGCCTCCGAGATGCCTCCCATGGCGGCGGAGAAGCCCTGGAAAGCATCCGGAGGCAGATTGGCAGCCTATGGACTGGAAGGGGGAGATGGGGAAAGCGCCAGATTTGAATTTGGCACTTTCCCCGCCTCCCTCTTCTTGTCCATAGGTCGATTCTCTAGCTGCAAGTTGAAATGAAACTTTGCGGACGGAGAAGTTCCTAGGTAAAAAAGTTTGCAAGTGGAGCCATGCGTAAGTCGAGACTCCACTGTAAATATGCAGGCTACGCATTGCCCTGCTCCCCCCAGCAAGCTCAGTAGTCAGTTTATTGACCTCAGAAGAATGGAAGACTGACTGAACCCTGGCTACCTGAGCCTGTTGAGATCGAACTCAGGTTGTGAGCAGAGTCTTCACTGTAATACTGCAGCTTAACCACTGTGCCACAAGGCTCCCCCATGCCTGTAAATCACCAACAGGATTCTGGCCAATGTGTTACTTATTCCTCACTCTGCAAGACTAATGCATTGATGGTTATTCAAGAGTAATTTATTATTAATATACACTCAGCATTAGAGGGTTCCCTTCCCTATTATATAGCTCGCAAAGGCTTTGTCAAGATGTGAGAGATTCCTAGGGGTTCCCAGAACCTGAGGGAGGGAAACGGAAGATTTCAGTTCGCCACTACCATTGGTCCTGGTTGATGACATCATCACAATTGTGTCTGTGTAAAATTGCAGAATAGGATTCCAGCCAGTCCGTTATAAGGCCAGCTATGTGAACTCTTCCCTTTGACCACCTTGCTACGGTTGAGGGCAAACATGACTTCCAGCACAAGATCAGGCTTATAACCCATATGTGATGCCATTAGTACATATCAACTTGATTTTCTTTCTCTCTTCTTCAACTTATTTATTTCAAAATGCCAATACTGCAATTAAAATCTGAATGCTGAGGTTTTAGTTTAGATAAAACAACTGCTCATGCACTGCAAGGGTTAAATACTTGTCTCTCTCTCTCTCTCTCTCTCTCTCTCTCTCTCTCTCTTTCCCCCCCTCTCTCATATAAGAGAGATTCAGTTTCTAACCTACATGGTGTCACTGAATTATTCCAAAGTGAAATGGCAGATGATCAGAGTACAAAAAAATGAAATTCTCTTGCTCCATTCAGCATTTTTGGCTGCAGTTTCTGTCCAGCCAGTTTGTACAGTAACCATGAAAACCAAGTTTCATCAAAGCATGATTGCAATAAATACAGTTTGTTATCAATCTGAAAAGTGTAGAAAGCATCATCTCCTACAATCCATGTGTTTCCAACTATTTGGTAATTTATTTTATAACGAAGGTATATTTTCAGGAAAAAGGCAGTAGTGGAAATATATTCACCAAGAGAGGCAGAGGCTGCCACAACTCATTACACAAGGGCTGTGACTGAACCCAGGTCTCATAGGTTTTCCCCCTTAAGAGATGACCTAAAAACTAACGCAGCATTTTGCTCTAGCATACATTCTGAAGTTGTGGCGGAAGGGAGTAAGTCGCCTGACTCCTGTCCCAGTAGATTTGTATCTGTGAATGCATAAGTAGAGACACCTCTCCTCTTTTCTCCACAATGATTCCCATTATATAATTTGGGGGAAAGCATAATACTAATGTTAATAGCTACTTCTGTCTCTGAGAGATGCATTGCCCTGTGCAATTTTTCAGGTTTCACATCCTGAGCTTTCTGTGTGTTTGTGTGTGTATACGTCTCCTATATTATTGAATTCTTGTTAAGAGCCCGCATTCATGAATAATAAGTACCAAGCATTGTTGCATCCCTTTCTCCCCTCTAGCATGCTACTTAAAGCAAAGTCAGACTCTACCCTTATTTTTAAACAAACAGGTCTGTAAACTTTATGTGCAGCATTTAAATAGTCATGTTAAAATTCAGACCCTGTGCCCGCATTTCCCTGAGTGCTGTCAGTTTTATGAGATGAAACTGGGAGCTTGAGCCGAACATCTAATAGTATGCAATGTGCACATGCTGCCTTCCAACAAGTGTTTAATGATGTCGGGGTCAGTTTGCAACAGTTAAGACAATTATTTCTTTTCCTCAGCTGCTTATAACCTACTGGTATTTTCAACTGCTAGGCTATGGTAGATGCAGAGGCTGGGAATGTACTTACAAGTAAGTTTGGGATGCAGGCAGAGCGTTAAAGGGAGTTTAAAAGGGAACGTGTTAAAGGGAGTTCTGTTCAGCATATGTTGCTTTGGGGCAATGTAAAACTCACATTAGACAATATGGAAATTAGTAGGTACACACCTTTCTATCAACTGTGTAGCAGGAGTGCACCTTACCTGAGAACTGTACTGATTTTTTAACCAGTACCTGTTAGAGCATTCTTCCATGTGTACTGGATGGGGTGAACCAGTACATGGTACCATAAAATAAGCACTTATAAGCACTACAGGTTGTGTATTGTTGTATCCTTACTGTGGCTGGAGTGTGACATATTGTTCTATAGCAGCCATAATACCCTAAATACTTTCCAGAGGAAAGGGAAGCAGTGCACATGCATTTTATCCTGTCGTAGCAGTTGGAGTCCTGTGTTCTTCATCATCTTCTTAGTACTGCAGAGCTGGAAAGGACCCTCTAGATTTGTGTACAGCCCATCAGGGAGGCACAGTGGGGAACTGAGCTCTCAACCTCTGACTCCATAGCCACATACCTAAATCACCGAGCTATCCAGAAGATGATCCACCGTGTTGGAAAAGGTCAATTTTTTTTTTTTGGTGGAAGTCTTCTACAGCTCCTTGTTTCAACCTTATTTGAACTACCCATGTTGGTAGTGAATTGTCCCACCCTCCATTCCCATGGAAGGCCTGTTTTTATTCTTACAGCTTTGGGGTACAATTTTATTACTTCAATGACCAAGAAAATGGCAAAATTATACACTGCAAGGTGTTGTGAGTTAAAATGGTTATGTAAAATGCTACTTAATCTGTTACTTGTAATGACTCCAGCTGGGTTCTATTGGAAACTGATTTCTCTGTTTCTGGTGAGGGACGTAAACAAAAAGCAGTACTTCATCTATTTTCATAATAGACAAATCCCTGTGTTTTGTTAATATCACTACAAACCGCATTTGTGGTCAGTAGTACATTTATGATCCCCATGTCAAACGCATAGGTTTTATATAGATAAATCACCCCTACCTAGCCTCTGCTGATATATGCCCCATTTCAAGCATTAGTTCCCATCCTTCTAAGGTCGGTAAATTTAGTACCCAGCTTGCTGGGAGGGCAATAAGTAGCCTGTGTAATGAAATTGTAAACCACCCAGAGAGTGTTTTAAGCACTATGGGGTGGTCTAAAAGCAGCGCACTTTGCTCTCTCTCTCTCTCTCTCTCTCTCTTTAGCAAATAAGTTCTCATTGGTTCTCCTCACTTTTAAAGATAGATGGAAAAGAAAATACTCTTTTTCCATAGCACTCATTCAGTCAGTTGATTGCTTTGAAGTCAGGAAAAACACAAATATTTCTTATTTAGATGCATAGCTATCTCCAGTGGTTCTTAACCTTGGATATCCCAGGTGTTCTTGGACTGCAATTCCCAGAAGCCTTCTCCATGAGCTATGCTGGATGGGGCTTTTGGGATTTGCAGTCCAAGAACACCTGAGTTACCCAAGGTTAAGAACCACTGGCTATCTCCCACCCCAGGGCCAGTTTGTTCTAGCACCCTCTTCTGAGCCTGAGTTAAGAGACTTGTATCAATCAGTTGCTGGTTTACTTCTCACTGAAGGACCTTAGATCAACTACGTATCTTACAGGCCAGGGTGTTTGTATGCATGCCTGCATGATTCTGGTCTTTCTGTTCTGTATGAGAATGATAGAAACTTGCAATCCCTGGTGTTCAAACACATTTTAGATGTACTTTTTAGTGCCTGGTTAGTTTTGTCTCTTTTGCATGCAACACTTTTTTCCCTTCATTTGCCATCTACAAATAGAATAGACATGTCACTTTGCCTGCATCATGTTTTCAAGCTTCTTTAAGGCATGGGTAATCTTCTGAAAGAAACAGAAGAAACAGCCTTAAATTGTCAGATCAGTTTTGCATTAGACATATACAAAGCTGAAGTAGCGTTGATTGAGATTTAGCTTCTGCTTTGTACAAGGGATTAATGATGACCAGTTATAGCAAGTTAGAAACTCTTATTGGGCTCATCATGACTATCCTGGAATTAGAATTAGATTATCTGTTTGATCCTCACTGCACCTGTTAAAATGTATAATGATGGAAAGCCGTCTCTTGGGCTAGTTATCCTCTGCAGGTTAATACGTCTTTGCTTAATTAGCAGGCAATTTCAATAACTTCAGAATTTCTGATTTTGGGGCATATATTTTAGTTTATTTCTATTTGGCAATGAAATAAGCTGATCATGTGGCTGTTTAGTGAGATGAGACAGTTTCACATTCTCCTTACAATTGGCTAGTTTTTAGCTTTAAAATAAAAAGTGGAATCAAAATCTGCTAAATCCACTCGCTGGTACATTTTATCTTTTTTCATTAGATAGTTCGGCATTATAGACAGGATTTATTCTTTTAAATTATTCAGGAGATGAAAAGCCCCCAATAGTTGTATTAAGCTTGTCAAAATTAACTGTGACGGATAGAATAGAACAGAAGTGTTGCTTTTAAAAGGGGGGGGGAGTACTGTTTGAGAAAGAAAATCATTGAGAATACAAAGGGTAGATGCTTCTTCTGTTTATTGAGCGATAAACTCTAGCATAATGTACATGCGCTGCAGGCCCAAGCCGGAAGTATTTTTCTGCTTGTTGAGCTACCGAAACAACACCAAGAAGAAAAATAATAAATTCAGTATTGAATCCTCTTTCATTTATTTTTATTTTTTCAAAAAGGACCTTTTGTTTTGTTTTTTAAAGCCCTGGGTCATATTCTTGATTTTTCTTTCAGATCTGAACTGTAAACTAGAAGACAAGGGAGAAGATGGAGACCTGATAGATTGTAAGAAGGGACCAGAAGAAGGGGAGGAGTTAGATGAAGAAGCTGTGCACAGCTGTGACAGCTGCCTCCAGGTGTTCGAGTCACTGAGTGATATCACAGAGCACAAGATTAATCAATGTCAACTGACAGGTAAACAATAGTTATCACTTTGTATCCCCTTACACAAGTCTATTTCCAATTTCAGGTTCCTTCTTCAAAGGCACTCACTTATGACACACAGACACACACACTTTCCCTGCAATATACTGTTAATTTACTTTTAATGCTGTCCAGGCTTTTTTTTTCTTACATGCTTCTGTACAGTGAATGGTTTCTGTTCAGGAGTTAAACAAATGTGGATCATTACTGCAAGCTCTTAAACACCACTGTACCTTGATTCTTTTCTCACTTTCCCACCTAAGCTTCTGTTCAAGCATTTAATTGACTGTTGCGATGAAAAAACTTTTGCTTGCAAATTCAGGTGCAGGGAATAAGCTGCTCTTGTTTTTAAAATGATAGATAATAATTACTGAGTAATATTAAACAGGAATACACTGAATTATTGCACCACTAGTGCTAACATATTGGATAGTCCGTTCTGCCACCTATCAAACCATGAGCAAACCCGCTAACTGTTGTTGCCCATTCATTTCTACATTTCCATATTAATCCTTACATATAAAGCCCTAAACGGTTTAGGACCCTGATATCAGGCAGAGCACCTGCTCCCACCTAGCTCTACTCGTGTCACTCAATCTAGCCAGACTGGGTGGCAGACCCCAAGAGAGGCCCTGAAGGAGAGAACTAGAAACTGGGCCTTATCGGTGGTGGCCCCTCACCTCTGAAACACCTTGCCCCTGGAGATTCTCCTGGCACCCTCGCTGGGAGTTTTTAAGAACAAACTGAAGACTTGGTTCTTCAGGCAGGCCTTCCTGCCTTCCATTTCTTAATTTCCTAAGTCTTACCATCTTGGTCTTTGCTTATCTCTATGTTGTTTGTTTTAAATTTTGTTTTATATTCGGAATGTAAGCCGCCCAGCGTAGATTCATCGAATCTAGATGGGCGAGGTAAACACCAGGAAAATAAAATAAATAATTGACATGTTACTGTTGACCTTTTGGTTCAAAGTGAAAGATATATCCCAAACAAGGGTGCATGTTCTTAATAGCATCCAGTATTGACAAAGGTCAATGAAAATATGTTTCAAGCAATTTAACAGGAGAATATGCCCTCAAATAGTAGGTAAGGACACCACCACAGCTCCAATAGGACACCACCACAGGACCTGTATCCATGGTTGCACTTTCCTGCAGTTCCCTCAGCCCTATATACAGCATACAAGGGCCTCGTTGTGACCTTTGCCCAGATGTGTGGTTTCTATATCTATAGTTTCAGGTATTGATAGTAGATTGTGGAATGATCCACCATGGATATGAGGCACCTACTGTAATATCATGTGTGGAACAAGTTAATTAATTTTAATCAGGTTAACATATCAAGTTTTAACCCTGTGAGACTAAATGGCATTAATATGATGACTTAATATTTACCCATAACTGGACTGTAGCAGTGAAGGTACCTCTGCCACAGTCAGGAGAAGAGGAGCTGATTGTAGCAGCAGGTGAAGGGAGTGAGTGACTGAGTGTTACTTTGTTTTAAATTCACTAATTAATATTGTTGCATGGGAGTAGCCAGAAACAGAACAAGGAAAGGGAAAAAATTAAGTTGTGCGTGAAAGACAGTTTATCAGATCTATCTCTGGGAGCATTTGAAGAAGTTTTGAATGTAAAGATACGTATCCGTTTTTGTACAGTGACATTGGATTAACACTTTTAAGCAGGCTTTTTTGTGTTTAAAAGTTGGAAGGACGAGAAAGGATGCAGTACAGTGGTGCGTTGAGTTCCAAACCTAATTCGTTCTGGAATGATGATTGTAACTCAAGTTGATTGTAACTCAAAGCACCATTTCCCATAGGAATGCACTGAAACACGATTAATTAATTCCCAACAACACTGCAAAATAAATAAATAAATAAATAAAGAAAGAAAGAAAGAAAGAAAGAAAGAAAGAAAGAAAGAAAGAAAGAAAGAAAGAAATTTGTGCCTTTAGGCACAAAAAGAGAGAGGATAGAGAGAGAAGACAATGGGGGGGGGAGAGTTTGGAGTCTAAAGCAAAACAAAAAAACCCATTCCATAGGGACTAAAAATAGGGATTAATGCAAAAGCAGTTAATCCGTCCACTAGGGGGAGACATTTAAAAAAAAACCCTAAAATGACCTCTAAGGTTAAAAAACGGGCAGGAAAGGAGGGAGGGAGGGAACAATGGGGGAAAGAGGCATTTTTTCCAGTTGTATCTCAAAGCACTGGTTGCAAGTCAAAGCAAAATGTTGGGACTGGAGCTGGTTGTAACTCAAACTGGTTGCAAGTTAAGATGGTTGTAAGTCAAGGTACCACTGTATTCAATAGTGCAGAAAAAACATTCTGCATGTATTCAGATTCACCCAGTATATTTTTTGCTAACAAGTATTTGGAGTAGATTTACTAATCTTTCTACTGCACTTCTGTGTTGCACAGGATCTTAGTCCCCTAAATGGCAGAAACGTATCATTCTTTATTATTGTTTTTTTAAGTTTAGCCAGGGGTCTCCAAATTTTTTACCATGAGGGCCACTGGATATTTTCAAAGTTTTTGAGGGCCGAAGGAACAGGAACATGTGCACGCGCACATATGCGCATAGGTGCAGGTACACACACATGCACACACAGACATACACACACACACATGCATGCATGCCCCTGCCCCCCGAACACACACACGCACGCACACCCCTACCCAGGGGAAGCAAGAGAGATGCAGATTCACAACAAAGCTTAACTGACACAGTTGTTAAATGCATGCTTTAGGCCACCATTCTTCAACTTGACACTTTCTAAATGCATTCAATTATAATTACATGATCCCCGGTCTATAGCTGAATTCTGGGAATTGTAGTCTAAGGCATCTAAAAAGTGCCAAGTCGAGGAAGCTGACTTAAACTACAAAAGGAGTCTTTTTAAAGAAGTTAAAAAAAGAGATTGCTGCCGGGGGAAGGGTGTCAGTCACAGTTTTATCATAGGGGTTACTTTAAAATTAACTAATAATTCAAGATTTAACTTAATAAGTTAAAAGCTGCTGATGCAAATCTAAACTAAACTAATTTTTTTGGTCTTCTAACACAAATTGTAATGTACAGTGGTGCCTCGACTTATGAACATCCTGACATATGACCATTTTGAGTTATGACCAGCTCCGACCGCAAAATTTTGCTTTGACTTGCGGCTGGAGCTTCGAGTTACAACCATTAAAAAGGCAGGGGGAAAAAGGTGGGGAATTCAAATTGCTAACTGTTGGTGGCGAAGAGGCTGCTTCTTTGTAGCTCTTTCGCCCCAGCAGTTAGAGAGTGTGTGATTGGAAGAGGCTTTGGACTGCCTGGTATGGTGCTGCTTTCTACTTTTAAAAACTGTTCTGGGTGGGTTATGCAGCGTGGTTTTGGGCTGGGCGGTGGGATTATGTTTCTATGCTTTGATGGGTCTTGCAGGGTTTGTTTATTTTTTGGTTGTTTTTCCCCCCATTTCTGGGGGTCTTCCGGGGTTTGTTTGCTTTTGGGAGGGGTTTCCTCCATTTCCGAAGGGTCTTGTGGGGTTTGTTTGCTTTTTGCTTTCCTTTTTTTGCATTTCTGAAGGGTCTTGCATGGTTTGTATGCTTTCTGCTTTCTGTTTTCCCCATTTCCAATGGGTCTTGCAGGGTTTGTTTGCTTTTTGGTGTTTTCCCCCCATTTCCGATGGATCTTGCGGGATTTGTTTGCTTTTTTGGGTTTACTCCCATTGCCAATAGGTCTTGTTGGGTTTGTTTGCTTTTTGCTTTTTTTTTGCATTTCCGAAGGGTCTTGCATGGTTTGTTTGCTTTTTGCTTTGCTTTTTCCCCATTTCCGATGGGTCTTGCATGGTTTGTTTGCTTTCTGTTTTGCTTTCTTTGTATTTCCAAAGGGTCTTGCATGGTTTGTTTTGTTTTGTTTTCTTTTTTTCCTTTGTCTGGAATGGATTAATCATGTTTCTGATGGATCTTGCATTTTGTTTGCTTTTTGCCTTGCTTTTTTTTTTTGCATTTCCGAAGGGTCTTGCATGGTTTGTTTGCTTTTTGCCTTGCTTTTTTTTTTTGCATTTCCGAAGGGTCTTGCATGGTTTGTTTGCTTTTTGCCTTGCTTTTTTTTTTTGCATTTCCGAAGGGTCTTGCATGGTTTGTTTGCTTTTTGCCTTGCTTTTTTTTTTTGCATTTCCGAAGGGTCTTGCATGGTTTGTTTGCTTTTTGCCTTGCTTTTTTTTTTTGCATTTCCGAAGGGTCTTGCATGGTTTGTTTGCTTTTTGCCTTGCTTTTTTTTTTTGCATTTCCGAAGGGTCTTGCATGGTTTGTTTGCTTTTTGCCTTGCTTTTTTTTTTTGCATTTCCGAAGGGTCTTGCATGGTTTGTTTGCTTTTTGCCTTGCTTTTTTTTTTTGCATTTCCGAAGGGTCTTGCATGGTTTGTTTGCTTTTTGCCTTGCTTTTTTTTTTTGCATTTTTGAAGGGCCTTGCATGGTTTATTTGCTTTCTGCTTTGCTTTTTTGCATTTCCTAAGGTCTTGCAAGGTTTGTTTGCTTCCCTTCAGCTGGAACGGATTAATCGTGTTTCCGATGGGTCTTGCAGAGTGTGTGTGTGTGTGTGTGTGTGTGGGTGTGTGTGTGTGTGTGTGTGTGTGGTGTGTGTGTGGTGTGTGTGTGGTGTGTGTGTGTTGTTTTTTGTGATTCTTTTCTTTGGCTGGAACGGATTAATTGCATTTCATTGCATTCTTATGGGAAATGGTGATTCTACTTACTACCATTTCGAGTTATGACCGAAGTTCCGGAACCAATTAAGTTCGTAAGTTGAGGCATCACTGTAGTAGGCCTTTCATACTAACATCCCATAGTCTGAGATAAACAAATGGTGTGATGCTGCATAAGACAGATTTTATACCCACAATTTGATCTAAAGTATATTCATAGTGAATAGAGGAGAAGATGATTCATGTTTAGGAGGGGAAGAGAAGAAGACTGTTGAAGTAATTCTCAACCATGTAGAAATATTAATCAATAACAG